TACAGGGCAGGACAACGGTAGACGCTAATAGCGAAAGAGGCTCTCTCGTGTTCTTCAGCCGGCAGCCGAGAAGAATTCGAGTGGAGAGGACAACGGGGAGTCAAGGGGGACGAGAGGATTAAGGGCGGTAGGAACGCGGACGAAGAGCGAGGTAGGGTCGAAGAGAAGGCCGGGGATCGCCTAATGAATTCAAATATTTGAATTACAAGAGTTGCGCCCGCGATCTCATTCATAGCGATGCGGCGCCGCGTTAGAAGATGCTTGGACTTAGGATCTCGCGCGGGAGCCTTCCCGAGTATTTCTGCCGCCGCCTCTTTCGGAGACCGGACACGCAATCGGCCGGTACGATCAGAAAAAGAGGGAAAAAAATCGGGAGCGAGAAAAGAAAACTGACACGCAGACGAAGGCGAAAAGGGGCGAGAGAGAGAGAAAAAGAGAGCGAAACTGTACCTAAAAGGAAAGGAATCACGTACGGACCGGACCAGAATCATCCGTCATGGCCGCGGAGGATTTCATAAACCCAAAGGTCGCAACACAAAATTAAGATGATATTACGGATAAACGAGTAATGCGCGCGCGCGCAGTTAAACAGTGAAGAACGCTTGTTAAGACCCGGCTTGAATTAGCCGACTCGGGGGCTGCTGTTTCGTTGGACAAGTGTCCGAATTAACCTTTACGCAGGTAATTTTAAAAATGATTACACGAGTGGACGGTAATAAAATGTATATAGTTATCCTCCTCTTGATTCTCCCTCTAAATGATTGTTAAACAGTACATAATTGTATTAGGTATGCAATATTTAGAAAGCTATCTCTTAATTATTGCGAATATTATATATTGAAAAAATAAATCTAGGATACACCTAGACTATCGTAGCGGACGAGTTTCATAATTATTTTCAGACGAACGAGCAACTGTTTAATTTGGAAGACTGGGCCCTCTTCGTTCTCGCGCCACTCTCTTGTCTCGCGATCACCTTCTTGGCGAAAGTACCACTTCGCGGCGAGGACTTTTTCCAGGAAGGATTTCGATAAGGATACGTGGTTCCTCATCAGAAGAATCGTTGAGGGTCGCGCGGGAACATATCTTTGTTAAGCTTGTTAGGTTAATTTCGCGCGAAAGAGTGCTTGGACGGTTCTTCACGCTCATTCCCAGAGCTCGTCCATGTCACGCGTGTCGAAGGTCCCTACCTCGAGATTGTTGCAACAGAGAAGGCAAATATTCTGCATCGACACGTGTCGTATTGCTGCTTGTTATGTTAATTTCACGCATATTTTATTTATATAACTTATTTATATATTTCTCGAAATGTAATTATTTTTCCAAGTAATGTTTTTAATATATACGATAATTTAATATTATGTCATATATGTATATAACATATTTTCAATATATCTATATATATATATATTAAAACATATATTCTAGATATTAAGTGAGAGAAAGCGTTCTTCAGAATTGATTATCATTTTTTCAAAGTCAAAATACTGCTGATTAAGTTGAATGTAAGAGTTTGTACAGCGATCTTTTAAGAAAGCAAGACCTAAATACATTTATCTGTATTATATGTATTTAGAACAACATGAGAACTACGCACTATTCAGTTTCGAATTGTATAGTCTTCATATATATACATATATGGAGCATACGCGCCATTGGCAGTGAAAGGATCGAGAGACACTCATCACATATCGTATCTCGCGGTCGACCTTTCGCCGCATCGATCGCCATCGCCGATCGATCTCGATATCCGACGACGGTCGCTTGGCGTTCATCCGGTGACGATCGCTCGAATGTCAAGGTTTCCCGTCGATTTCCATAGTCGCCTATGGAAATTCTCCGAACCGCGACGCGAACCGCGTATTCTAAGATACGAATGAGAGAAGGCGAGAGAGAGAAAGCAATGTATCTATATAAATAGATAGAAAGAGATTTCGTTACGAATACGTGCGCCTTGCGTAATGGCCCTCGAAGCTGAAACGCACATGATTCCGAGAGAAGCAACGAATCTATTACAATACATCACGAGCCGGTTGAACGTCCACTCGAACGTATCGCGGACATGTCGTCGATGGAACGAAAAGAAAATCTCTCCCTCGGAGGAGAGAAAACGTAGGATGGAGAGAGAGAGAGAGAGAGATGGAGGAAAAAAGAGAGAGAGAGAGCAAGCGTTAGAGATCGGATCGGACTGATTTGAATTAGAACAATAGACGAGCTCGACGCATACATAGATATACACAAACATATACATATTCCGGCGCTGTCGGTGACGTACGAGATTAATGATCCGAAAATTCAAAAATCGAGACCCCGTGGGGCGCCCCACACCTACATCCCTATATCTCTCTCCTTTTTTTCCCTTTCCTCCCTCTTTCTCTCGCACGATTCCTCTCGCGCGTCCGGTCGGACTCGCAACATCAATGATACCCATTGATCGATCGCGCTTTGTTTCGGCCAAATTAATTTCAAATGCTCCGCGATGTAGCCGATGATGCCGCGGACAGATACCTGGCTGCACTTAAATCATTCTCGCCGGGGCGCGACGGGTGTCCCGAGTCGACATTCGAATGATTCAACGGTGACGGCTCTCTCGGGACGATCGTGGCGCGAGAAAGACTGGCCGTTCGAATTTTTCGGAATAAACATTGAAGACAAATCGGCTAACTCGAAAAATTCAACGAACGTACCTGAGCTCTGACGCGGCTCAGGTTGACAAGAGCAAATTACATGCATTGTAGTCAATAAAATAATTGAAATTCAAATCATTTTGGTATTATGCGAATTAGCATCCCCTTGAAATGTGTATCCCATATAGGCAAAATTATGATTTCAAGCTTGATCTTATCGCAAATGCTAGATGTCATAGAATCATCTTGATATCTATGATAAATCAAAAGATGTCTTAAAGTATCTCAATAGTGAGCCTAGATGCATTTTCGTTTCATCTTGCATCGTCGTCATCGTTAGGCTAGCACGTGTGGAGAGTCTAATGTAAAATGAGAAAAAAGGAGGAAAGAAACCACGAAATCGCTATGGCCCATCCGTTGCAACTATAAGAGTTCGTAACTCCATAATGCGCCCTGCAGGGAGGGAGAGAACCGCGCATTCCTGCCGACATTCCACTTCGAGACTCCCGCTTGCACCACGCGGCGGTCGGTCGGTTGCATCCGCGTTGCATCGTTGAGATGCATGCGCGTCGTCAACGTTGCCCGCGATGATTACTCGCGCGAATACGCGTTATTTTCGCATATAATTTCGACGATGTGACACGCGCAGATGCAGTAAACGCAACCGTCGTACGCGGCGACGTCATAACGATATAATATAATGCAAGCGTGATAAAATACAAGGCTGTTGTACAAATGATAAAATGTTTACTTACCGCACCATTTTTACTTATATGCAAAATATATCAATGCTTTAGTTTTTATTTAATTCATTGATAAAAAATTATAATAAAAAGTACGTGACAGTAATGCAATTAACCGGAAAGATTATTCAATTTTTGCTTGTAGTTCTAGAGTTATAATTATATCACGTTGCATGTCAAAAAATACGAATATGTAATAATAAATCGAATAATCGATAAAATATAACTATAATGAATTGAGTAATTTGAACAATTTTATGTACTGAAATTGGTTGCAATCTAAACAAATCATGTCATAATTATATAAAAAAATGCTAGATATTCAATCTTATTTGTCTCTAGAAACTTTCTAAATAATTTACTTGATAACGCGTTTAATAAAAATTTCAGATAAACTGTTAGCACCTCGACAAATATGTCGTGACCATAATCGCTTCTATACATCGGTGCAAAATGCACCGGACGCGAGACGTACACCGGAAACGTGCGTTTTGTAATTGCCCTAATGAATCTCCAATGGCAAAAGGGACGCTCGAAATTTCGTCGTAATCCACATGGCAGATAGCGATCGTACTGAACGACACATACACATTGTCTCGGTCGTCGAAGAGTCCGAAAACCATGACGACCGCGTGCTCAACGATAGCGATCGGTCTTTTGTTTCCATTCATCCTTCTTGGCACCTCGACGAGCACACCCTCGACTAAGGTATCAGGGTGCTCGTCTTCCACAATCTCGTGCGCCTCGCCGACCAGCCGGCCAGCGAGGTATGCTAATCGAGAAACGATTCTCATTTGCTTAATCGCCGACCGAGACACTGCGCACTTTCGATCATTTTGGACTAATCTACTTCAAATGGATGGACTACATTAAACTTATATTTCATTCGATCTTAAATGTAAGCAGGGTGTCCAGCAGACTCAATGAAAAAAATTCCCCGATTTTTTCAGATTTTCCAAGACCAGAATTTAATTCTTTCCCTGACTTTTTGGTATTATTTTCTCCAAATGTATAATTTGCATATACATATCTATAGGATAAATCAATTAAATGTTAAATCATGAAATCCTTGAGATATTTTTGTCAACAATGAAAAAACTCGGAAATTAAAAAAACAAAAATTTAAATCAATTATACAATCTGCATTATGTACGATAATAATCAAAACAATCATGTCACTATAAACTATTTAAATAATCACCTTTTATTTATATTATATCAAATTTTTTAGTTTTATCTCTATTAAACACATTGAAATAATATAACACGACGATGAAAATATAAATTAACGAACACGCTGTAAATGAATCAATTTTTAACAGCACAGAAAATTAGCGTGCTGGGAGTCAAGGAAAGGTTTATATTTATTTAATAAAAAATTTCAAATTATTGAGACAAATGAAGAATAATGTGAAAAAATCCAGATAAATAGTAAAATTTCCTGACTTTTCTCTGATAATTCCTGATTTATAAAATCCCCTGACAATGTCCAGATTTCCCTGATCGCTAGACACCCTGGTAAGTTTAATTTAATCCATCCATTTTAAGGCAACGAATCATCTCTATCTACAATCTACAATCTACAATCTATAAATCCGTTGCCTCAAAATTAAATATAAGACTCACTCACCGACACCGATGCCCAATAACGGAGTAATTGATGTTTGAGCTACGTTGTCTGTAACATACAAATATAAAATCTAAATTGGAGCAGCGTCCAAATTAATTATTATTCAAAAAATTATTATTGCACGCGGCGAACTTTATATTTGATGAATAAATAAACTATTCACCTTGGAGTTGCTCCGCTGATGCCCGATGCCTCTCTCAGGCCTCCTCCTCCTCTCAGGTTGTCAGGGTCGTCAAAATTAATTAACACGCGCGATACTTTTAACGGCACTCCCGCACTCGTACGCGCGATAGTTTTAATTAACGGCACTCCCGAATTTTACGTCGTCTCTGTAACATACGAATATAAAAACTAATTATAGCAGCGTTCAAATTAATTATTATTTCAAAAAATTATTATTGAATGCGCCGAACTTTATAGTCTATGTTTTTCAGGAAAATCTAAAGTAAAAAAATTTTCTAAATCGGTTTAGTAATTTCTGATATTACCCCAATTAATAAAACAAACTTTATCTCTTTATAGTATCTCTACATTAGTACATATACATAAATATATAGAAATATAAATATAGATATTGATATAGAAGTATAAATAAATATGATCTGTCTATTTCAATCCTATATAAATATATATATATATATATATATATATATATATACATATATTGATAACGAAAGCTATACATAGAAATCATGGAATTGGTTTTGAAAATAAATATACTATAGTTAAGTTATAGTTAAGAGCGATAAATCAAAGTGCCGAGTAATTGAAAATCTATGCCTGGAATGAATTAGAATGATCTAAAGATAAATTTTGAAGAAACGCTTGCCTGCTGTTGGGACACATGTTGTCACCAGTTGTCTAATCGTCGCGTAACGGAAGTACATACGAATTTATTTGCGCTGCATGCGCGACGACATTTGGACGACGAGCGTTCCTTCAAGTGAATTTACAATCGTGAATTTACGGTCGCCAATAAAGCGCCGATTCGTTTACGTGAAGATTGTCGGTTGACCGTTTTAATCAGCCAACCAAAATTCCAATCGCAATCTTTCGCATCTTCGATCTTTTATACGTCTTCGTGACAGGTTTTATAAATTTGTCGTCCGGGAAATTGCATTGTATTCGCGAAAACTAGCTACCTTGAAGAAAATCGCGCGACGACCCTTGCCAATGTCATTTTGCGATGTCTCTCGCACGATTGTCAGGACAGCCGGCACATTCTATCGATGTAACATGGCAAAATTCGTGATATTTCGAGGATGCCGACCTGCAGGATGCAGGGACTCCTCTCCTTCCAAGAAGGTAGCTCGAGATTCTTGTTTGTAGGACCCGTTCCGCCCGGATCGTGCCGATGTGTCCGGCATGTCTAGTGTTTCTCTCGTGAACACAGACACGACAGATTAAATCTTAGTCTACTACTATATAAGTCTCTCATATTACACGCAATGTCGGTTTTATTTGAAAACCGGACACACAGAGAAGTCTGCGTGCCACTGCGTCGGCTCCCGTTTTAACGTCCTATCGTTCTCTCCCTTGTTATTCTTCCACGATTTCGTTTCTCTTGGAGACTTCACGTTAACTATTTTTATTTGAGCCTCCCTTTTTTCTCTTTCTTTTTTTCTCTCTGTTTTTTTTGGGCCCGTTATCAGCATTATGATTATTGCGCGATTATCATTATGACCACGTGTAGCTGTGACGTGTACTCGAAATGAAGCCGTACCACCATCAGGATCCGGTGCCTTATCTGCTAATCTTAATTTTCCGGGTTCCCCGCCGAGGCTCTCGGGTAGATATAATGTTACCGGCGCGTCCTCTCGAGTGTGACTCGATTGCAAACGTCCCTACTAGACAGCGAACAACGTCGTTGAGAACGTCGTCGGGGGATTTAATCTTATCCGGATACTTAGGGATAGGCGATGAGATTGTAGAATCGAAAACGAGCATACGCGTGCAGCGCGATCGTTAAACACTTTGTTCGTGCTCTGTCCTAATGCAGCAGAGGAGATTAAATTATATTAGATTGTCGGGAAAAATTAATTTTATTTCAATGTTATTATAATGTTGGAATAATTTTTTAGTCCAATTTTTAAGAAAGGGTGAATTTTATACCTAATAAGCAACGCTTGAAGAAAATTTGGTTGAAATGGATATTGAAAATAATAAACTCATTCGTCGCCAAGATAAAATGTAAATATTATTATATAGAAATCTGATTGATAAAAAAAGGAAATATATCGAGTAATGAGAAATAAAATTATAAGCGTATCGAAAAAAAAAACGCTCATAAAATACATTTGGACAAGAAGTTGAAATGCCATAATGTACCGACGAAGGGGGTGAGTTTCGCTCGTTTCCTGTCCGCGCAAGTAGAAACAATAATAATGACAATGGTATCTCTGCGCAGGGTGGCCCTCGAGATAGTTTATTAGCGCTCGCGAGACAATGGAGGTCGGGACCCGAAAAGAAGAAGAGAAACGAGGAAGGGGAGAGAAAAGAGAAAAGAGATGAGGTAAGGGGATTCAGCAGCGGCAGCGCGAGCCGAGGTCGAGCGGCGGTGAGGAAGAGGAAGAAGATCGAATAAGAAGAAGTCGAGGAAGAGAGCTGGACGGTTCGGTCCGTATTTAAGTATGCGTGTGCCCGCCGCCTTCAAATTTATGCACGGCGACAAATATTTCAAAATCATTCCCTCCGTTTCCTCCGTTCTCCACCTCTTCTTGCCTCCTCCTTCTCGAACTGGCGGGACAGAAAGGAGGACGGCAGCCTCCCGCGGGAGAACCACGATAATAACGTGCGCAGAAAGGTTCCCGAGAGAACGATAGAGCGAGAGGACGAAAGATAGAGAACAGGGAGACAGATTGTGCGAGGACACGGCGAGAGCGAACAAAGCAAAGCCGGGAGCCCGAAATATATTCGAAAATTTAAATCGTCTATTAGAAACAACGGGTCCCGAACGCGACGATGCGTACGCGTCGATAGGTAGGAGATTTGGGCCCCCGAAGGCGAAGGCGGAGGAGACGATGGACACAGAAAAGAAGGTAGGGCCCTTTCTCGGGGCCCTCTCTCGATAGATCCCGACGAGAGATAACGCGGCACGAGGGAGAAGAGAGGAAGTATATGCGAATTATAAACCGAATGATGGTAGCCAGTGGCTTTCTCTTCCTCTCGGTGTGGGTCCCCTATGCGCGGCTACGTGTTCTACACACGTGCACGCGCGTGCAAGTTGATCGGACAGGTCGGAAGGGTCCTTCGAGAGCCCAGCTGGAGATCTTCTCCACGCGCGCTGCTCTGGTATTTAGGATAGGATCTCGCTGAGGACGTGCCGAGTGGCGACAGGATTTACAACGAGGACGCGGTAGATACACAAAGACGCGGCGAAATCTAGAAGACAATTTTGCCACACATTCGAGATCATTTGGAGCAGCAAATTATGGAGATATCTAATGCATATTAGGTTTTTTTAGATATCTTTGATGTTTTAATGTTTCCGAATATTGATACTGTCGTAATTTTTAATATATGAATGTTGGTACTTGAATTTTAATTTATTTAGTTGACCCCCAAACACCGCTTGTGGTCCTTATCGAATGTAAATAGAGTTAACTAGAAAGCAACAATATCATTTTATGTTTAATTTTTCTTTTTACATTTGTAAACAATAGACAATCAAAAATTAAGAAAAGAAAAAGAAAAATTTAAATAGATTATACATTTTTCGTGATCAACTTGACAGACGAGACGAACAATTGTTGTAAGTGTCAAAGTTAAACATTGAAACGTTATGTAATTTTTCATACAATAAAGTGATGCCAGTTTTGGTCAACTAAATAAATTTAAATTTAAATTTTCTACTAGCGATACCACACTTAAATTTCAATACATATTATTACTTGAACTTTGAATTTGAAAAATCTAGAAATATTTTCTAAAAACTTTATAAAAGATATAACTATGACTATACAAGAAAAGCTATAATAATGTAACTATAATAATATTCTGTGATAACAATACAGATAATTATAAAATATTTCTTCTTTTCTTTCGCAATTGAATATCTATCATAAATTATTAAACATATAATTGCAATCAATATGCATGATCGCGAATGAAAACAGCAAAGTGTCGCACGGTTGTGTTGCAAATATGGTTTAAGAAAAGATGTCAAGGTCGGTCTAAACATTTTTGAATTTAGATGCACTCATTTGTATTACGAGGGAGCATTAACAATGATTGCGGCAATTGTATTTGTCGATTTTCCTCGCAAAAAGACTGCCGATCGAATGGCAGGGCATAAGCTGTCGTTGATCGTACATATTTAACTTTTTACCCTATCAACCGCAGCGCAATGTTGCGGCTTAGATATAATGACGTCTACAAAATAAAAGTATGAAAAATATTTAAGTATTAAAAAAGTAGCAACGATTAACGTAAATTATTGCTCGCACGTATCCACGACAAAGATTTACATCTCCGAGAAAAACTTGTCTTTCGTGAAACATCTCTTCGATTCTGTTTCGTAAAACTTTCATTTGGAAGCTTCAACATCAAACGTTAAAAGAGACTTTAAATTATATAAAAATCCTATTTTAACAAAGAAAAATTGGCTGTTAAAAATAGTTAATAGATAAAAATCTTTTGCCAAAATACTCAAATTGAAAATTGCATATGTGATGAGTATAAGAAAGACTTTGAAAACCTAATGATAAATTTGTAAAAAGTATGTTGTCTAAAAATGGATATAAATGGATAATGGTTAGAATGATATTGATCGTGAGAAATAATATTCATACATAGTTACATCGCCATTATTGATCTCTAGCGACGGTCGCATTTGAACGCACTTGAACATCATTTACATGCGACAATGGAAATCATCGACGATCGCGAATATAGTGCGGCGCTCGTCCGGTCCGATTGTTCCCGCACGTATCGATCTGGGTTTCGGGACTTAATTTCCAGCCATGGCCGGAGATATTAAAGCGGACCGTGTGTGTGACGTCGTATGTATGCAAATCCTGCCGCTTTGCCCTGTTCCGTTTGAAGAGGGACGGATGTAGGTGGAGGAAGAGCCGGAGAGAAGGAGAACGAAGAGGGAAAGAGGAGAGAACTCCGCTTCCGTCTGGAGCATCGCCGGCAATCGCGGATATCGAACGCACGCACGCGTGTTCACGTATAGTCCCGCGTACGAAGGAGTATATTCACGCATATACGCGGCTGCTCCACGACGAAACTCATATATAGATCACGTGTATTGTGATGGCACGATGTGCGCGTTCGATTCTTGCGCTCTCTAAATATTCCGATCCCTCGCGAAACGTCACGTCAGTGC